CTCCACCCTTGCCCCCCGCCCCCCACCTGCCCCGTTGTGATGGCTGCTCTGCTGAGCTAGTGGGAGGACAGGAGATTGCTCAGAGGTCCCCAGGGCAACCAAGTTCATCCAGGCAGGCTGCCTGGTGGAGGCAGCCCGCAGCAGGGCTTTGATGGCAGAATGCCTCCATAGTGGTAAGGAGGCCTGCAGAGGCAGAGGTTGGGAGTCCTGAGGCCCCTACTAGGCCTTGGCCTCCCTGGACCTGCCCCTGCCTGCTCTGGAACAAAGCCTGCCTCCTTCCCTTCTGGCCCTTCTGCAGGGTCCGGCCTCCCACACCCACCCGCGCCCTCCGAGGGTAAACCTGCCTTGTCACCTGTCTCTGGTTTTTTGATTTGTTTAATTATAGATGAGTTTTCTGCATAATTTATTCCAAAAGCCTGGATTATACTGTACAATTAAATCACATTCTGATCAACAACTTCGGCATAAAATTAACAACTGGCAACAGTCTCATCTGTGCTGCGGCATCTGCACACAGGCCCTCCCTCTCCCTCTCCCCTCCCCTCCCCTTCCCGGGGCTTCTCCTCCCCCCTCCTCCTGCCCTGCCCCTCCCCGCTGCAGGCCTCAGAGCTCCAGACCCCAGGGCGGCTCTGTAGTTTGGCTGGGGCCTCCCCAGGCTCGAGCTGGGCTCTTGGTGGTTCTGCCCGCTGAAGGGGGTCCTCAGCCCCAGTTCCTCACCCCGCATGGGGATGGCCTCGCTCCCTTACCTCTTAGTGACTCTTCTCTCACATACTCCTCTTGGTTCTGAAGCCTGCCCTGGAGAGCAAGGCCTGGCGTCCTGCAGCCCCTTGGGCCTTCTTCCCGCTGGGCTGCCCTCAGTCTGCCAGGTCCGGGCTTAGTGCCCCTCTGCCCTGTGCCCACTCTCTGCCTCTCTCTCACCCTTTCCAGGAATCCTGGCCACACTCCCTCCCTCCGTGCCCTTCTCCCCAAGTGCAGGCATTCATGGGAGCTCTCCTGAGCACGGGGGCACTGTATTGGGTGCTCTCGTAGCCCCCAGGGGTGCCTGGTAAATATGCATCGAGGTTGCCGTGTGGATTTGGCCATTGAAGCTTTTCAGCCAGTCATTCGCCTTATTTACAGACAGGAATACTGACATTTGAAGGGAGCTCAACTCCCGGAGGTCGTGGTCACACCTCGACCTCGTGGTGCCTGAGGCTTCCCAGAAGCTGCCCTGTCCTGGAAGGGTGGGGTCAGGGAGCTGATGGAGCCAAGAGGATGGATCTGGCTTCCTGCTAAGTATGTGGCCCTGCACCCATCCTTGCCAGGGGCCTCCGTTTTCTTATTTGTGGAATGGGGGCCCAGTGCCTGCACCTCCCTGGGTTCAGGCACATAGAGGACACAGAGGTACAGGGCTCTGTCCTCGGCCTCTCCTGCCCACACCAGTCATCCTGAGGGCTGCAGCCCCTGGCTGCACGTGCCTCCTCCCAGACACTCTCTCGCCTCCCTGTCTTGCTAATTTGGCACTTAGAGACACTCGGAGATAAGCAGTGTCATCTCGGTGAAGAGCATGGAAAAACACAGGGATGTGGGGAACCAGCAGGTGGGCCTACGCTGTCGGGAGGGTGACCCATGGGCAGCCCTCAGGAGGCACTGTGGAGCCAGGCACCTGGCCCTGGGCTGATGGGAGCCCAGGCATATTTGGTCAGCTTGCCTTTGATCCAGTGGGGCCATGGATCCAGATACGTCCCACATACTTCCAAAGCCCCCATGCCATTCTGCCAGAGGGAATGCGGCTGTGCCTGGCCAGGTCAGCCTCGGCTTGGTGGGTGGTTTCTCCAGCCTTCAGACAGGAGCTGTGGGGGTGCATAGATGACTCCCGGCCTCCTTTGTCCCATGGTGTCACGCCTTAGAGCCAGCACTGATATGCCAGCCAAACCCTGGAACCCACATACTCTCATCTCAGTGACAGTGAAATGATTTATCTATCATGTTCTTTTTAACACTGGGACACATACTGCCTTCCTAATTGGGTTTGGTTTAGGTGAATAATCAGAGTAACTTGTTTTCCCTGGCATTGTTTTGATGCATGGTGCTGCTGGGGCCTGGGGTCTGTCTGTCCATCACGCCCAGGGCACCAGACCAAGGGCTAGAGCCACCCCCCCACCCCGGCCCCCAGGAGGATGTGTGTGTCCTGCCATGTCATGGGCGGACCGGTCTCTGCGACCTACAGCAGAGTCTGGAGCTGCTCAGCCTGGGGGTGGAAGTGGGGAGGCCGTGTGTATGTGCATGTGAATGTATGTGTGTGAGTGTATGTGTCTGTGAGTGTGAGAGAGAGACAGTGGGAGGGAGGGAGAGAGGGAGGGAAAGAGTGTGTGTATCTTGGAAAGAATTGGACTTTATCCTGAGATTTGGCTCTTCTAAAATTCTTTTAGTGTTGAAATAGCCTTTTTAGATGAAATGATGGTGATTATAATAATAATAATGTGTTGTCTGAGCAAAATAAAAACTTGGCATCCATGTCTGTTCTTCCAATTAATTTTCTTTTGCTTATCTGTGAAATCCTAGAACCAGAGACCTATAGATACACTAGAAAAGAGTCAACAGCCTGGGGCCGAATCAGTGGTGTGCTAGTAAATGTTTACAGTTCACTCTCCAGGGGGAAAAAGAACTGCAATTTGTAGCATTTGCCGATTTCTGTGGTATAAATATTCCCACCATGGCCGATTTCAAGTTCGCAGAGTGACAATACTGAATGCAGAGCTGGGAGGAGGTGCACTCTTGCGTGGCTCTTGCTGACTCTAGCACATCCATGCATCAGGCTCCATGTCTGCTGCTTCCTGGGTGGGTGACCGTGGGCTGGTCACCTAAAGCCCCTGTGCCTCAGTTTCCTCATCTGTAGATTGGGGATGATAATGTTTGCTGCTTTGTGAGGCTTGAAGCAAGAGAGCAAGTGGCATGCTGGCACCACTCCATGTACATCGTGGGTGCCCTTGTGCACATTAGTCCCAGAAACGATTATGATTGGCATTCGTCCCCTGGACCAGTGAGTGACTGAGGTCAGGGTCAGGCCCAGGGCAGAGTTAATGGTTCCCTTTGGAGATCAGCTCCTTGACCTCAACCATTTTTGTACCTAGCTGGACACAACATCCCACCTCAACATTCCCCCCCACCGCTCCCGGGCTCTGTCTCAGGAGCAAAAACAGCCACCTGCCCCGCTGTCCACCCACAGCCACGGCCACGCGATCAGCACCTGGTACATAGGAGCAGGGGCCAAGCAGGCTCTCCGCTCTCTGCTGGGCTTTGCCCTCCCCTGGCTAGCACCGGAGGCCTGATTGCCCTTTGTAGCCTGGTCTGCAACCTGGCCTCCTCCTGGGCTTGGGGTTAGCTTTTTCCCTGTGGTGGGAACTGGAGGTGGGCATCAGGCTGTGGCTCAGCCAGCAACAAGCTGAAGCTAATACCTATTTCTTTTGATGTTAATTTTTTTTTTTCCATCACGGTCCTGACATTCAGCTTGGCAAATTGCAATTAGTGATCCGCCCGCTTCCTGCTCCAAGTTCCCATGCCAACCGACCCGGGCACACACAATGGCACAGGCCCAGCCCCCCAGCCACAGGCCTGAGGATGGATGTGGGGCAGGGGGCTGGGGTGGAGGCTCGAGCTCTTCTGACCCAGGGAGCTAGCAGAGTCCTGGCCCTGAGTGACACTGGGGAAGGTGGGAGACGTAGCAGGCCCAGGGCACATGTTAGGGCCAGATGTGATCTCCTGGATCCTATGGTTTCTAGGGTACTCCTCCAGAGACTGGGGGGCTGGCTTCACCCCACCCCTACCTTGCCCTATGGGCTGTGCTTAACCCGTGGTGTATTTAAATCTTTGTGGTAACTCTCCTATGAGCCCTCCCTGGAATGGCCTTGTTCTCTGTGTGGTGGGATGAGGACGTTGAGGTACCTTTTCAGATGCATTAGGGCAGCGGACCTTGGTCACAGCAGAGAACACCTTGGGAAGTGTGGAGAACATCTCCCTGGTATGGTTTTGCTCACCTGATCTGGCACTGCCTAAAGGAAGGGTCACAGGTTAGAACGTGGACCGAGCCTCTCCCCCGATGCCACTCCTGTTCCGTGGGTGTGGGCTGAGAATGCTGGGTCCTGAGGCCACCTGTGCCTCCTGTTGGCTCACAAGTATCCCAGTGCAGCACCTTTGACTGCCTGTTCTCATACCCTATGAGGTGGTCCCAAATTATCCCCACTTTCTGGAGGAGGAAACAGACACAGACGGGTCAGAACGAGCTCAGAGAAACACCAGTGCGAAGGAGACCTGCTTAGGCTGGTGGCTCAGGTGAAGGACTCATGGGGCTTGCAAAGCCCCTGGAAAGGGGCGGAATGGTCTGAACTGGACCTGTGGGTGGGCAGTTGATGCGGGGCACGCAGCAATGAGCTTCAGATAACATCTGTGTGCTGGAAAGATGAGGGCTGCCTCCACCAGAATCTCCACGTCCACTTCTCAGCTGAGGCCCACGGGGGCAGGAAGCTGCCCCCGGCTACACAATGACTTGGTGGTGATGGCAGCGACTCATGTTCCTTCCCCTTCCTCAGGCCTCACCCAGCCTTGGGGACAGGAGGCTCTGAGATCCAGCAGCCCCCACATGGCTCACTCATGTTCCCCTCTTCCCTGGTGTCCAGAGTCCCCACATTCAGAGCAGCAACATCAAGGGCTGGCTCTTCACGGTGAAAAATAGTCTCCCTGCAGGCTTCTTGGAGCTGCTGGACTCCCTCGGTGCATTTAAACTACAGCCTGTTCTCCTCCCTGGCTGCGCAACAGTACGTGAGGAGAGCCTGGGCCACCAGGTCTAGGCTTCAAAGGGAATCACAGGCTTACTCCGGTTCCTAGTCTCTGTTTCTCCTCCAGTGAAGATCGGGTTCTGAAGGAGTGGCTGCTACGGGTCACGCCCCAGGTCACTCGGCGCTGGGCTGTCCCAGCACTGGGGAGGGGGGCCCTCCTGACACCTCTCTCCTCTCTGCACACAGGATGCAGCACTGGGCCCGGCGCCTGGAGCAAGAGATCGATGGCGTGATGCGGATCTTTGGGGGTGTCCAACAGCTCCGTGAGGTAAGCCCGGTGCTCTTTGCTTTCTGCTCAGGGACCCTCTTCTGAGTGGGAATGGGAGAAGGGCTTCAGAAATAAGGAGTGAGGTTGGCCAGTGCTGGTCCCAATGGGGCAGGTGGGGAAATTACTAGAAAAACAGCCACTCCTCCAGGACTTGGCCTGCTCTTTCTGGTACTGAGCACTAGCCAGTGAGCTCTGATGTCAGGGTGTTGGGCTTTCAAGTTTTTCTTAAAAAAAGATTTTATTTATTTATTTATTTGAGAAAGAGAGCGAGAAGGCAAGTGGGGGGAGGAGCAGAAGGAGAGGGACAAGCAGACTCTGCATTGAGTGTGGAGCCCGACGCGGGGCTCAATCCCACGACGCCGAGATCATGGCCTGAGCCGAAATCGAGTGTCGGATGCCTCACTGACTGAGCCACTCGGGCACCCCAGAGTTTCAGGGTTTTACGTGGGTGAGGTCTGTGTCTGAGGTAGCCCCTGAGGCAGGGGGCCAGGCCCTGGAGGGTGCAGTGGGTGCGGTTGCGCACAGAGGTTGAGGAACTGTCCACGCGATGAGTGGGGCGGCCAGGCCGACAACAGCGGAGCGCGGCGCTGGCCGCTCAGGGCGCTGTAGCAGGAGACGGGTTGAAAGCCTGTGCTTGGCAAGTTGAGGGATCAGGGCAGGAGGGGTGATTGATTAGGCACGAGCGACCACATTCATCCTCGGAGATTATGTTAATGTTTGAAATAGTGATGTGAAGAGCAGGCCATCCGTCACCCCCAGAAGGCTGCAAAATGTGTCACTGTCAGGTCTCTGAGCCGTCACTCTTTATGTGGAAATGCAGAGGCTCGGAGAGCTGAGCTCTTGGAGTGCTTGGGTGGGACTTCCAGGGACCTGGGGGTACTTTGAGGAGCTCTTGCTGGAGGCTTGGGCCAGCACGCCCGACCAGAACCGAGCAGGGGAGTAACAGGGCTCTCCTGCCGATGGTTGTCCGGGAACAGCAGAGTAAACAGAGTTTCTGTAGGTGGTTAAGCCAAGAGGCCAGGTCTGGACCCTCTTCGTGACATCCTTCTTGTTCAGGGCTGGGATCAGCAGGTGAATGGGGAAGCTACCATGGGGTCTTAGCCTTGGTCCTTCCCCCCTGCTTAGCTTGGGGCAGGTACCCAGGAAACGGGGCTGGCAGTGAGTACATCGCCACTGGCTGTGGATGGGGCTGTCCCTCCGGCACAGATGCAGCTGATCAGGGCTGGCTAACAAGGTGGCAGCGTGACGGGGAGCGGGAGTCTGGGTCTGGAGGTCTCAGCCCCCAGCTTGCTGGGTATCCTCCCCCTAGTGGCCCAGTCTCTCTGAACCTCCCTGCCCTAATTGCTGGGCTTGAATTGCAGTAACCCCCATCCCACTCTTCCCATGAACTCTCAATGACTCAGCCGTACTTAGAGGCCAGCAGAGCTTTCCAGAGAAGGCTCTGTAGGAAAAGCTGTTCCAGAACAGAAGTCAGTTTATGCTCAGGAGTTGTACCCGGCACAGACTAGGTTCTAAGTGGGTGCTGCCAAGTGTAGCAGTGTAGGTTAATGAAGAAGTGATAGTACCCTGGAATGTGCATCGTGTGCCTTTCCAAGTCTTGTATTGGAACATAAGACGTACCATAAGTAGTTAACTACGCACCTCCAGTCAAGAATGTTCCGTGCTTTGAATTCCCAGCTTGAGGACATTGTTTATTTTATAGTCATGGGCAACTCAGACCCTGAAAGTTTGCCAGTAAGAAGATAATGTACCCATTTCATACATGAGATTTGGTTCTGTCTGAACCATTGAGCTCCCTGGCTGGTGAGAACCAGAGATGGAAGCCCAGCTCAGCATCCCCACTGTGTGCTCCTGGGCGAGTCCCCAACCCTCTCTGATCCTCACTGATCTGATCTGTGGCGTGTCTGGGAGATCTGGCTGGAGGATGAGGTGATGAGAATAACAGTGGATGGGCTGACACAGATACACCCCCTTTTCTAGAAATTTGACTTTCCCTCACTGATTGGAGTTTTCACTCCGAGGACCTGTTGGCCCCTCCCTTTCTGATGGGAGGTGAGTGATTCCAGACACTTTCCTCCGTGAGCACATCTTCCCCCACCCCCACCCGGCCAGCCACAACCAGAGTCATGCAGCTGGCTGTGGCAGCCCTGGGGCTTGGACCAGGGCTCCTGACTCCTGTCCCCAGCCTGCTCCTCCTCTAGGGGCACCTCTTGGAAGGCTGGGCAGGATGAGCCTGGGGAAGTGGGGAGCTGGGCTGGAGCAGGGGCTGTGCTTGGTGCGGTGGTGGCCAGCCTGGCCACAGTCAGAGAAGTGCTGACCTGGCGTTCCCGGCTGGCTCCTCCTGGCATCCCTCTGCCTGCCGACGGCTGCCAGCTCCCCGGCGGCTCTCTGTCCTGCTCCAGTTTTTTCTCACCGGCTTCCTCAGCCTCTTACTTCCCGCTGACAGCTCTGGGGCTGCTTCTTGGCACCTGGCACTCTGGTGAGGTGGGCGGCAGGAAAGCAAGTAAAGAATTCCAGAGGAAAAGGACAATCCCACAGGAGCGGGAGGGAGCCAACCTCCCCGCCCCCTACAAGCCACCCCAGACCTGACTAAGTCACCATGGCTCTCCTTCAGATGCATATGAGAGGGCCTGTGTGGCCAGCCCCTGCCCAGCAATGATGGGTTGGGAGGATGCTTACAGCAGAGCCCTGACCCAACTGCAGATGCTCCCGGGGATCCTGGCACCAGCTCCACCAAGCTGACAGCCTTAGGTCTCCCTGAGCTGATTCTGTGCTCCCCCCAAACACCCTGCAGTTGGGGTGTCCTGGCATCTGGGCCCCCTTGGCCTTCCTCCCCTGCATGGCTGCCCTCTGCCCCTACCCCGGTCCTGGAGGCTGCCCCACTCCCAGGAGCTGGGCGCCCCAAGAGCTGGTAGTGGCAGGAGTCCAGAAACTGCAGGCAGTGGCATATGGGAGCATTTTCCTTGCCTTGGCACTTTCCTCCTCCCGACCACAACCCCATGGAGGCATGGCTGCGTGCAGACCAGAGCCCACTTACAGGTTAGGAACCATAGCACACCAAGGTGGGGTGTGGGGGCTGTCTGCAAAGACCCCATCACATTTCCTCATCTAAGCCCAGGGCCAGCACATAGTGGGTGCTCCGGCTGTGGCCTGGTCTTCACATGCCATCCCCACCCCCATGCTTAGCCAGACAGTCCTGAGCCATGGCTCCCCCCAGGTACCCCAGTCCCCCCACCAAGCCCTGGCCTATTCCTGATGTGAAGAGGCCACAGAAGTGTGGGTTCTACTGTAGTCTGCCCTCTGCAGAACCCCTGGAAGCTGATCCATGTCTCCCAAGCTCCTTCTCTGCCCTCCCCCATCATCACCATATTGTCCCCATCCTTGGTGGGGCGGGGGAAGAGCAGAGAGCATATGCTTGGGCTCTGAGCTCATTTACATAATGAGGCTGATCAGGATGAATAATTCATCAGGTGCCTGGGGGTGCATGGGGGAGGACGTGGAGATGGCCGTTTTCCCCACTCTGAAGCCCAGGTCACTCTGACAGGTACAGCCAGGAACCTACTCACTTCTGACTGGGTGTCCAGTGTAGAAGGGGAACAACTCCGGGGACCTTGTGGGGAAGCAAAGCAGGAGAGATTATAGTCAGACGTGAGGAAGAACCAGTGGCTCATCAGGTGTACCATCCTGAGATGCGTTCCTGACCTGGGTGAGACACCTTCCTTGGAGGGTCTCTGAAGAAGATCCTCTCTCTGGGGTGAGGGAAGGCTTCCTGGCCAAAGCTGGGCTGGGAATAGAGATCCAGGATGACCATGTCTGGGGTCCACAGGCGTCTCTCTGGAAAGTGTCAAGCCAAGCCTGGGCCTGTGGGCGCCTTTCTCAGTCCACATCAACCCCTCCTACCTCGCCTTCTCATTGGGGCAGAAATGGCTTAGAGCCTTGTCAACATCCCTGGCTGCCTCAGTTCCATGATGGCCTTAGCCCAGCTGCATGCGGCTCGTTACTCCTGTGGTCCTAAATACAAACGGGAAAACCAAGGACCTGAGCGACTGTCTCCACTAGCCAGTCCCATCCTGGAGCCCCGACAGGCCAGTCTTATGTGGTAGTGGGGTTGGGGAGAAGTACCAAAGCCAGAGGTGCAGGCCTGGGGCCTGCCTGGAGGAGCTACCCTGAGGCAGCCCCTCCCCTCAGTTGCTGAGCTGTGTCTACAGAGAACAGGACCCTAGGACTCGGAGATCCCTACCCCCAAATCTCCTCCTCCACTCCCCACTTCTGTGCTTCTCTGGACAGGCATGGTGATTCAGACCGATGGTATCCATGTGTCCTCACGCTCTGGGTAGCCAGGGTGGCATTTCTGAACCAGTGATGGTGGCACAGTCCCAGCCCATCTTGTCTGCCCCTGGCCATCCCGGTACCCCATCTACTTAGTGCTCCCTGGGAATGTGTAATTAATATTTGTGGAGTGCCACATCTGGAGCTGGCTCCTGGCAAGGACCAAAGTCTGGCCACGACAGGGCCCCTTCCTACATGCCTTTGAGACAGGCCTCCCACTGCCCCTCCAGCCCTCCCCCCTGGCTGGTACCACTAATTCCTGAAACTCATGCATACTCACACACTGGCTTAGGGGTGCCGGCCAAGACTGTGGTTGGCCCCCATCTGGGGTGGGTTCTCTCTGGGCATCTGGGCATTCAGGTGGGGTTAGCAGTGTCCAAGAGTGCCAGGGAAGCTCAGAACCCTAGAAGGGCTGGGGCAGAAGAGGAGGAAGGAAGCCGGGGTAGGGGGAGGTGCCAGGGAACAGAACAGCCCCTGGAGGGCCAGGAAAGGGGAATTCAAGCCGTTGTGACCCCCAGACCCCACAGTCGGTCCTTCTCTCAGAGCACTGTGGTTCACATGTACCCCAAGAGGGAGGCCTGCAGCTCCCTGGCCAGGCGGACCACCCCCTGCCCACCTCGGAGACCAGCACAGCTGTCCCAGCTGATGTGCTCATAGTAAGATGAGGGGTG